TGAATTAAAACTATAAATCAATCAACATATGTTTAATGGCATAATAAAATACACAGCGTGATAAAATATGAGCAAGAAGGTATTACAGAGACAACAAAAAAATCATACAGAGAACCTGTGTCTATCTTTGACCGCTTCAGCCAAGAATTTAGCAACCGGAGCTGTGATGTCTGGACCAGATTTGTGTCATTTAATAAACATTGTATTATTCTTTCGTTGTTAATACAATGGTTAGGGTATAGTGGAGAGGAAAGGAGTTTCTTACGTGGACCTGCGTGCAATTGGTAGTCCAAGATGATGTGATGGATTGAATGCATCGATTTTAAAGGACAGGTACATTTCCTTTCATGGAAAAGGACTTTGTCTAGTCTACAGCTGAAACAAAATCCACATTGGCTGCGAATATGTGTTGTCCTCCCTTACCCCTATGAATCATTGTTAGTCCCTTGTGAATGTGTAACTGTAAATCGCTCAGAGCCAGCAGCTCTGCAGGATTGAGCGATTAATAAATTGAAAGATTATTATTATTATTATGCAAAATACTTTTTGGGGAAATGTGTATACCTAATAGTCTCCTGCACTTGACATTTAGTTTAATTTTTCTGAAAGGTATTTAATTTTTTGTTCTTAATCCAGCAAACTATATAGGAACTAGCTTTCGTAACTGACGAAAGAAAAAAAACTTCATGTGGAGGGACTTCTTATCATTTATAATTTTGCCAGACAAATTACCTACAGAGGCTTGTGCGTATGTGTAAAGTACCATCAACTCGCAGCCGATTTATGGTGACCCCAGCAAGGGGCTTTCAAGGCAAGTGAGAAGCGGAGGTGGTTTGCCAGTGCCTTCCTCTGCAGAGTCTTCCTTGGCTGTCTCCCTTCCTGCTTAGCTCATGATACCTGATGAGATCAGGCGACATAGTGCTGCCTTCCCTCCTACAGAGGCCTGTGGAGGAGATCATAAAATGGGAAGAGTGTTACATCAGATACTGTGGAAAATTTGTTTTGACTGTCTAGCTGCACTTGTGTTTTTGCCATATATGATTTCAAATAACATTCTTGATATTTTGGAGCTCTGAGTTTTTTTCTAATTCACTAGCAATCAATATTATGTACAGAGGTCATTTCGGGGGGGATCGCAGTTCCCCCGGGTGAGGTACAGGGGGTGGGGCACATGACGAAGCCCCGCCCCCCGCTTCCGACCACCCCGCTTCCGGCCCTCATTCAGCCAGGAGGAGGCAGGAGGAAGGGTAAGTTGCTTCCTCCCTGCCTCTCCCCACCCCTGCCTGCCTGGGGCCAGGGAGGGCCTTCGCGGGGCTTCCTTGCACTCCCGCCGGCCTTGCAGGTCCACCACCAGGCCCCTCATGGGGCTCAGCAGTGGAGCTGCAAGGTCGGCGGCGGTGGCCGGGACCGTTGGGGGCGGGGTGTGTGGCCTTATGACACACTTCCGGTGATGTCAGGGGGTGTGACCTTATGACACACTTCTGGTGATGTCAGGGGGTGTGGCATATGCTAATGAGTTATGCTAATGAGTCCCCCTAGCTCTTTTTCTATGAAACGACCCCTGATTATGTAAAACCAGTATTGAAATTATTCAATTATCAAGGTAAAACAGCCTTGTGAATCCCGTTCTGATTGTAAATACAGCGGTACCGAATGGCTGTTCACTCCCTTTCTTTGCATTAGAGTGCCAGAGAAATTTGTGGCTCAAGAGCAACTGTAGGTTAAAAATACAAAACAACACAAAATAGTGAAATCAATAGATCACTGAAACTTACATCAAGAGAAAAACTGACACGCCATATAGTGATCGGAAGTTGGTACAGAGCACTGCAGCTTGGCTACTGACAGGTGCTAAGGTGGAACACGTCACCCCTGTTCTGCAGATTCTTCATTGGTTACCATTCAGTTACTGGGTTCAGTTCAAGGTTCTGGTTGTCACTCACAAAACTCTTAATAGATCTTGGACCCACCTACCTGTAGGACTGTCTCTCCTGCTGTGTTCTGGTGTGACAGCTTTGTCCACATGAGTAAAACCTCCTACCCCTGCAAATGGGTAAGATCAGCAACTATCCATTTATGTGCACTCTCTGTGGTGGCTTGCACCTTGTGGAATGGCCTGCCTGAGGTCAGGAGGGCTCCCACACTTCTGTCATGCTGTCTAGTGTCAAAAACAAAAAGGTCATTTAAAAAAATTTATTAGAACTGTAGTAGAATGGAACAGCTCAGGTGTCTTCTATAAGGAATGGACTATAGTCTATTACAAAGTTTTTTGTATGTATCACTTTACTCTTACTCAAATACACTTTACTCTCTACTCAAAGGCCTTCCACCTTTGGCAGCTACTTTCTGTTATTTTCTGGCATCCCATAACTTTTTTTTGTTTGCATTGTTCAATTCTGTAACCCTAGTCCTACAGCATTGTTAGTTGGAGGTCTCTGCTATCTGCTTGTTTTATATTCTTTTTTTTTAAAGCCCCCGGGGGGGATTTTTTTGCATTTTCTATAAACTACAATGAAAAAAAAGGAAGGGAAAACTACATCTATGGGAGAAAGAAAACCAAACTAAATAGAAACAATTTATTATGCTTTAATAATTATTAGGAATAGAATGAGTAAAGAGTTGAACAGAAGTTAATGGTAGTTAAAGAAATGTTACCTATAAAATAGATTATAAGAGAAAGATAGTTAAAATAATAGTTACTTATCAAACTATGGTTTAGGAGAAGGATTAGATAAGAATAAGAAATTTGGTAGGGGCGAGATCACTGCAGGAAGCCTGGAGAAGGGGAGGGAGGGAAGAAGGGAAAAGGGCTATATTGGAAATAAGGGAATGTTATAATGTTGGACATGTTGTTATAACCCGATAATAAAAAAAAAATTGGGGAAAAAAAAGAAAACCAAACTAAAAACCCAAGAATAGGAGATCATTACAATAGCTTGTATCAGTGTTAATCTAAAATGCTATGATTAAATTGAACATAGTCGATCATGCTATATTATTTACCTTTAAAACCATTGTTTTCACTATTTAAAGAGAATCACAAGAGCATCATTGATATCTTTAAGGCCTTGGCACAACTCAGAGTACTTCAGCCTTCATTTTGTTTTATCTTTTCTAATCCTTAATTGATATTCTCGCTTAGGGGCTACTGCCCCTTTTTCGGAGACAGAGTCCTCATCAGAAGTAGCGGAGTCCTTACTTGTTTCATATTCTGTAATTTGTCTTTGAGAGCCAGTTTGGTGTAGTGGTTAAGTGTGCGGTCTCTAATCTGGGAGAACTGGGTTTGATTCCCCACTCCTCCACTTGCACCTGGCTGGATGACCTTGGGCAAGCCATAACTCTGGCACAGCTGTTCTTGAAAAAGAGCAGTTTCAAGAGTTCTCTCAGCCCCACCTACCTCACAGGGTGTCTGTTGTGGGGAGGGGAAGGGAAAGGAGTTTGTAAGCCGCTCTGGGACACCTTTGGGTAGTGAAGGCTGGGGTATAAATCCAATCTCTCTCTCTCTCTCTCTCTCTCTCTGAGTTTCAGTCAGAAAGGTGGGCTACAAATGAAGTAAATATTTTTTTAAAACTTCCTACATCCTTTTTGAAAATGCAAGATATTTCAACCCAAATCGTGGATATTCATTGAACAATAAATCTTAACAGGGTGTGCCTCAAACAACCCAGAGCAAGTCAACAGAAGTCACAATCAGCAGGCTACAAAGAATAACTACCTACATCTGCCTTGGGGGGGTGTCTCTGTATGGGTTGTTTGTGTGATCTGGCCGTGGCCCTGAGGAAATTATCCAGCTCTGCATTTGTAGAGGCATGTTCCCATTTGCAGTATTTGACTGAAAACATCATTCACTGATTATCATAGACATAACTTCTTTTTCATGTGTTTGGCAAGCTACTAAAATATAGATTAGTTTTGATAGTACTCATCAATGGCTCGTTGCATAGCTGTGGAGTCCCGGAAATGGGATGAAATTTTTATTTCTTCAGTTTCTTGGGGACAGCCATGTTCATAATGAGACCTGTGCATAAAAACAGGAGTACATCACAGTTCTCCCCCCCCAAAAAAAGAATGTGTGATCTGTAGCTAATTGCTTTACATTATTTCCTATCTTACATTATCCCACAATGGAATATTTCCTGAATTAATTGCTTCTTAAAACATTTTTTTTTATTCGGCTTATATATCCTGCCCTCCCCGCTTGGCAGACTCAGGGCGGGTTACATCAAATCCTTTATGACTTAATTTTTCACCTTAGACTGGATTACTTGCTTAATTACTCCCTAAATTACTTTCTCTACTTCCAAAATGATGTGTCCATAAATAAATAATTTCCTAAACTGATTATTCCCTATCCTTTCATTACTTCAGAATGGAGTACCTCCCTAAATATTTTCCTCCATTAATTTCCTTAATCCTTTCCTCAATTGGCTATACGCTGCACCAATCAATGGCTACTTTAACCATTTATTTTATTACACCTGACTTCTTGTGTGCCCATAAAAATCACAGCAACAGTACAACTCGAGGGCTGCAACACACTCAACCAGAGTCGCTAGGCAACAGTGACGTGCCAGGAAGACGTCGCGACTGATGCTAACAGAGAGGCCTCATAGTCGGGCCGCTCTAGACTGGGAAGTCTATGCCTGGAAGAAATATGGCTCCCGGGACTTTTCCAAAGTAGCCGAGATCACGTGGAAACGAAACCCTCGTCCCGCTCGACGCTTTCAAGGACATCGCTCGTGGCCGAACGCTGGATTTAATCTCATATCTGTCCCGGCGACGGGTTTCGTTTTTGAAATCAATAAGCACCGGCGCTTTCGCACGCGCGGTACAATCCGGGAAAGCGACGCGTGCCTGATAGACGCCGGACAGGGCTCGGCTGGGAAGCGCATGCTCAGTACTCGCGCCCGAACGGTCGCCGACTGCGCCTGCGCCTCGCCGGCTCTCCCCCTGTTCGGCGAGAGCCCCGCGCGCGCGCGCGTGCGCGCTGGAGGCTCCATTCTTACCAAGCCGCAGCTTTTATCAGCAAACGCTGGGGCGGAGGGGAGCGCATCAGCCATGCATTGCAGCAGGCGCAGCCGCGGGAAGAACGGCGGCGGCAAGGACTAGGCGCACCGGCTGCTCCCGCCCGCCTGGATGCCTCTTGTAGGACGCACAGGAGCCCAGATCCCTTCGCGCCCGCCTCCAGGATTAGCGCCGCTGCCAGGTACTCCCGCACGCCCCTCCTGCTGCTGCTGTCATGTTGCATGGGGGGAGGGGACCGGGAGGGGGAGATGCATTCTTTGGCCTGACCCCTTTGCTTCAGGGCTGCCTGCATGGCTAACGGACCCCAGGACGGAGGAACCATGCAGCAGACTAAGCACGTGCTTAGGGCACCCGGGCCAAAGGGGGCACCACAAAGTTGGGGAAAGGGTGGGAAGGAAAAAAAAACCCCATCAACGACGAATGAAGGTTTGTAAAAAGCTTGGCTTCGTTTTGTTTTTTTTTGCCTTTTTTTAAACGATTTTATTAAAAGATAAGTCAAGTATACATAAAGAAGATTACTATTTAAACATTAATACAGCCTGTAAGTGCAAATCGTTTGGCTTCGTTTGTACAGCCTATTGTGTCATCTAGATGGAGAAATGTTCTGTATTGCTGCAAACCTGCATTGTAGATCTGGTCAGACAGGTCGACAGCTAAAATGGACTTGGGGGTCAGTGTGGAAAGGAGGGGGGGCACCAAGATGGGTCAGTGCTGGGGGCAGCCGTGAGCCTTCATCCGCCCCTGGGGCCCCCCCCCCCATCATCTTGCTCATTGGGATGATGGTTTATAGTCGTACAAAGCAAAAGGCACGAAGCGAGTGCAGCCTGGGAGAATGGGGCGGGTTTACTTATGGAGGCTTGCCTGCTCGAAATCTAAACTGAGACAGAGGGAAGGCATCTCAGGGATACGCAGCTTTTGTTTCATCTCCGCCTCTCCATATTGTGTTTGAATCTGAGTTTAGTTGCCGGACAAAAGTATATAGGTTGACTATTTCAGCCTTACTTTTTGGTTCTCTTTTATTCACTGGACATTGGGAGGTATATACGATTCAGTTTTCTTCTCAGATTGGTTGGCATCTTCACCGTGCCTTTGTGAGTTATCTGCGTATGCATCTAGACGACATGTAAATAAATAAGGTGATGCAGTAATTTGGATAACTGTATCTTTTTATAAAGCAAGTATATCTAATGCTTTGGGCTTACGGTCAGTCCTATGAATTCTGTCTTCAAAACGAAGGCATTTTTGATGATCTGGTTATTGATGGGACTGAAATGCAGTGTGATTTTTGTTAACACTCTTGATTTGTGGGAAGGTGGTTGGAGTCCTCTCTCCTCCTGTTGGAGTTGTGCTGTTTCGTTTGGAAACTGATGGGAAATGATTTTCCAGATGCCATTTGTGAGAGGAGATCCAGCTATCCGTCATGAGGCAGCCCTTTTGTTGTAGCGAATGTTTCTATTAAAAATTTAAAAAATCAAGTGCATACTTTCATGGCCCAACTCCACCCCAAAACTTCACAATTCTACATGCTTAACTAATCCTCTTCCTTCTCCTGTAACACTCAACCTATGCAACATTTATCTCTTCAGTCAGTTGCATATAAGGAATCATTGATTTGGTTGTAGGTAGTTGACATTTTGTGGCTTTAATGGTGGGTTCTGTAGATATGTAATAATTGTGCATTATCCTTGCATGGTTTTAATCATACAGAATGCTGTAGAATGTTTAGAAGATGTAATCCCCCCTTTCTATTTCTGTCTAGCACATCAACTTGAGCTCTCAGTAAAAATGAAATTTGGTGTTATCAGTCGAAATCAGGCCTCTGACACAGCTGGGGATGAATGGTAGAATTCTTTTTTTTGTAAATGTTTTCAAGTTTCTAAGAGACCCAGTTATTCCCTGAAGTGCCACATAAGTGACAAAAAAGATTATCTTTTTATAATGACCTACCAATTTTTTTGGGTGAATTGATATTTTATTGGTTTTTAGCAAACTTCAATACATACAATTCATAACATTTCCAAACAGTACAGAATAGTTTCCAATGTTAACAGAACCTGCTGTTAACAAGGCCATTTAATTGCTGACATATACTAAAACAAACCTGCAAGTATCTGTGTGACAATTTAAGTATGATAGTAAATCCTAACTCTGTCTTATCCCAAATGAATCAGAAACCTAAGTCAACAACCATTTGTGGAATTTCATCTTGCGATGTAAGATAATTCAGTCTGGGTATCCAAATTGTGGGGAACGTGGATTGCCCAGAAGGATTTTAGTGTAATATTTTGTTTTTGCAGTGTGCTGTGAATTCTTAGAATGCTGTGCTTTTCTCTCTGCAGTAGATCCCCCCCAAAGTAAGGAGCATGATTTTCCGGCTGCTAGGCTGACCTCCTCCCCACAGCTAATCCTGCCTCCTCCTGTACATGCGGACTATATAACACACTTGCCCCTGTGTTGGGATGTGCAGAACTGTCTTCCAGTTCAAACTGTTTGCAGCCTCCAGGGGAAATCCAAAAACCTATGGTTTGTGGTACACAGGGGCCATCAACAGGCTTTTAGCCACAAGGTATAGATAGGAACTCTCAGTCTTGGGCAAGTGATGCTCTGTATTCTTGGTGTTGGGGGGGGGGCAGCAGTGGGAGGGCTTCTAGTGTCCTGCCCCCACTGGTGGACCTCCTGAGGGCACATGGTATTTTTGGCCACTGTGTGACAGAGTGTTAGACTGGATGGGCCACTGGCCTGATCCAACATTGGCTTCTCTTATGTTCTTATGTAACAGTGGGAGGGCTCCTAGTGTCCTGGCCCCACTGGTGGACCTCCTGATGGCACCTGGTATTTTTTGGCCACTTTGTGACAGTGTTGGACTGGATGGGCCACTGGCCTGATCCAACAGTGGCTTCTCTTATGTTCTTATGTAACAGTGGGAGGGCTCCTAGTGTCCTGGCCCCACTGCTGGACCTCCTGACGGCATGGACCTCCTGAGGGCACCTGGTATTTTTTGGCCACTTTGTGACAGAGTGTTGGACTGGATGGGCCACTGGCCTGATCCAACATTGGCGTCTCTTATGTTCTTATGTAACAGTGGGAGGGCTCCTAGTGTCCTGGCCCCACTGGTGGACCTCCTGATGGCACCTGGTATTTTTTGGCCACTTTGTGACAGTGTTGGACTGGATGGGCCACTGGCCTGATCCAACAGTGGCTTCTCTTATGTTCTTATGTAACAGTGGGAGGGCTCCTAGTGTCCTGGCCCCACTGCTGGACCTCCTGACGGCACCTGGTATTTTTTGGCCACTTTGTGACAGAGTGTTGGACTGGATGGGCCACTGGCCTGATCCAACATTGGCTTCTCTTGTGTCCTTATGTAACAGTGGGAGGGCTCCTAGTGTCCTGGCCCCACTGGTGGACCTCCTGAGGGCACCTGGTATTTTTGGCCACTGTGTGACAGAGTGTTGGACTGGATGGGCCACTGGCCTGATCCAACATTGGCGTCTCTTATGTTCTTATGTAACAGTGGGAGGGCTCCTAGTGTCCTGGCCCCACTGCTGGACCTCCTGAGGGCACCTGGTATTTTTTGGCCACTTTGTGACAGAGTGTTGGACTGGATGGGCCACTGGCCTGATCCAACATTGGCTTCTCTTGTGTTCTTCTGCTCGGCTTCTGTGTTGTGTTGCTCCTCCTTCTTCTAAATACATATGTAAGTGCCAGTTCTCCTATCACAGCTTCTCAGCTGGCACTGCGCAGTTCGTCTGCATCTGAGATTCCCTCAGTCAGGTTACTGGGGTACGTGGAAGTTTTTCTATGCTTGAGCTGTCTGTTGCTCAGCTCAACAAGGAGGAAAGATAAAGGGAGTGAGTGTGTGTGAGAGAGGGAAGCAGTGGTGAAAGAGAATGAGATTATAGCTATCTAAAGATGGATGGGCAGTATGGAAAGTTTTGCTTTATTGCAGCCAGTTTAACAGTTAAACAAAGACTGTTGAAGCTCAGCTGTGTCTCAAAGAGACCTAGGATAGGGAGAAAAGAAGCTGGTGAGCCAGACCAAGAGGTGTCTTGGATTCATTTTTTTCATTTCGCTCCGTCCTACCCTTTGGATCTCACTTTGAGGGTGAAAGGGGGGATAACTGGCAGTTGGAGGTGGCTGGAGTCTTGTGTGGCAGGGAGGGAGTTGGACTGCCAACTTATTAGCTCAGTTTTACAAGCCGCTTCTGAAAGAGTAGTTGGATGAGCAGGCATCAACTGGGGATACTGTTATTCACAGCTAGGGCTGCCAAGCCACGGTGGGGGATCCGTGCGTCGTCACAGGATCCCTGCCGCGGGGGGACAGCAATACGCGCTGCACCGGCGTCGCCAGGATGTGACGTCACATCCTGGCGAC